AAGGGGGTTGGGACTGGCGGGAGGGAGGTTAAGTGCGGCCTCGCTGTTGCCTCTGTGTGTGCGGGGCTTAAACCCGGCTGGGCTGAGGGGGAGGGGCCCGCGGACGCTTACGTTCCTCTTGCCGGTGTGCTGGGGCCGGTGCTGCGGCCTGGTCCCTCTGCCACAATCCCACCGTAGCGGGCACGTTGGAGGGGAGGGGAGCGGGGCTTCGTCTCTATTCTTTCCTTGGCTGGAGCAGGTAGCGGGGCGCTGCCCTCCCCTTATCGCCCCAATCCCTGGATAGTGTTTTTGCGTCAGCGAATGTTTTGGTGCCATAGTGGTCCTGCCTCCTCTTCCCCCTCTCCCGCACCCGACGTGTTTATCTCAGTGTGAAAGTCCCTTTCTCCTTACTGTCCCTCCACCGTAAAGGGTGTGTTTTTACATCACGGTTTGTGTGCCTGACCCCAGGAGAGCTGATCTTCACTCAAGGGGTTCACTGTAAGCATCTTGGTCTATAAGCAGACTTTTCTGTAGCTTGCAGACTGCACCCTCCTGAGAGTGGAGGCTTTTTGTAGATTTTGCTTTCTAGGACCTGCTCTGCTCTACTGTGTAAAATTCCTTTACTTTGCTCCATACAGCAAACTGTGCTTTGCCATACCACAAATCAGCTTCAATGTTGACAGACAGATGCTATATTTTACCATTAATACATAATTAGTTTTATGCACTCTCCGACATACAGACATTTCAGGGGAGTGTGAGCAAACAGCATTGTCCAGAAACTGCACAGCACTCTGAATGCTTAAAATGCGATATGAATAATAAATGATTCTCAGTTAAGCATCATGAATGTTGACTAGCTTCGTTTGCAAAATCAAAACAAAATTTTAAATAAAAGTAGCATCACCTTTATCCTGTATTAAGATCCTTCTAATTATGATTCCTAAACAATTGGAGTTGTTTACATGGATTTTTTTTGTCCATAGTTCCAACTCTTTTTGACATGTGTGCAGTGGGTAGTAATTAACAGTATGGCATCCTGCTAGTGAAGTTTGGATTAAATTACATTTCTGTTTGTTTTGTTTTTTGATCAAAACAAGAGGGGGCTGAATTTTTTCCCGTCTCAGTAGTTGTTTCTATTATACCATAACATTCCAGAAGAGTTTCTATCAATACTGATAGGAATGGTAGTTTTCTTCCCAAAGGTGTTCCCTGCCCTGAAAGCTTTCTAATTTCTGGGTTAGCTGTGCTTGAAGTAGGGATGTGACCTGGTTAACTGCTTCACTGGTGGGGGCTAGAGTGTCTCCTCTCCCGCCAGGGGGAGGAGGCTGCTCCAGCTCTGCAGGGTCTGGGGTGCTCCAGCCCAGCCAGAGCAGCCCCAGTTTGTGCCTGGTGGGTAGACTGCAGCAGCCCTTTCCCAATGCCTTTTGTCAGTTAACCATTATGTTTAACTGGCTAACCAATTAATTGGGATATTATATCCTAGCTTGAAGGGCTGTAGCAGTGTTAACAGAAATATTAACAGAGGAAACATCAAGAAAGTTTAACCAAATCCAGAAGCAAAAACTGCAATATGCAATAGTATAAAATATGATAGCCTTAAATAGATACACCATTACAAGGCCTATGTTGTGTATATATATTTTTTATTATAAATTAATTTATTATTTTACAGAATGAGCGATCTCCTCAGACCCCTCTCATCCTGTCCTCTTAGACACCTCCATGAGTCTTTGGAGATCATCACCCAAGTTTGGGTAACACTGGTTTGAAAAGTCAGTATGAAGTAGTGTAGTCACTGCAAGAAATTACAAAGGAACCTTATGAGCAATATGGTTTGGGTTGGGGTGGAGGTGATTTGGGATGGGATATGGTAACAAGGTTGCAGTTATGTTCTTGAAGAAATTACAGATTATTTTGTGCTGGTAGGATGGGTGAAAGATTGGTAGTTTTGGAATGATAATTTTAGTCCATAATGGCTGCTACTGACTTATTTCAAATTAGATTATTGCTGTTTTACATAATATGCATCATGTCATGCAGCAGCATCACTCATTCAAAATAAATGGATGCAAGTTGCATTAAAAAAGCAAAATGTGGTCAGGCTTTCCAACAAGATTTTAGGACAAATCTATCACCATATGGCACTGCACAAGGCAAATATTAAATGTATTAACTTAAAAGCTAAAGCAAAGTTGTTAGTTCTATTGAACTATGCGTTATCTGTAGCATCCATAAGGCTTTGAAAAAGGCCCCTTCACTAATCAGAAGATGGGAATGATCTGTTCGTGTATTTTCTAATTGCAGAAGTAAAATTATAAAACCTCTCCTTCAAAGTTTTCTTTGTCTTCATATTTCTTTGCATTATGCATAGTAGAGATTGAAACATTGGGGGCCATGTCAGTAAGGTGTTTTGTTTGCTTTTTTGTTCCTCGCTTGTGTGTGGGCCCCCAACCTGAAAAATGTTCCCCACCTGTTATAATTCATACATTTGTTCTCCAGTACTTGTTTTTCTATTCTCAGGCTTGTTCTAATTAGTCTTCCTAGTTATCTTCTCAACTTGAGTTATCTGAAAACAGAAATGTTTACCCTTTAATAGAATAATGCAACATTCAGGAATACCCATTGCTGTTCTCAGATGGTTTAGACAATTTACTTTTATTGAGATGGTATCCAATCTTCTTTGAATAGAGAGTCTCTTAGTGAACTTTTGTTCACCTGGTCTCCATTTCCCTTTTATGAGCAATTAGTGTCTCTAGAGACTCTTTTCTGGTGTTTGCTTTCCTGACTCAATATACTCTGAGGGCATGTCCCCAAATGTCCTAAAGTTTGCTGGGTATCTTTTGATTAAACTCCTGTGTATTATAAAATTAATTCTTACCAAATGAGAGGTTAATCAAGTAACAAGTTAATGATATAATATTGTAGAATGGGGCATCATCTTTATAAAACTTTGATAGTGTGCAATTTTTTAGGGCATCTCTGGCTTGAATTTTTAAGTTGCTACCACAGTAAACTTAATTTAAATTGACCTGCTCATTGAGTCACAGATGTAAGCAAACACTGTCTTGAAATTGCTTAATTAGCATAAACTTTTGAAATCATTTACAAAAATAACGAGGAGTCTGGTGGCACTGTAAAGACTAACAAATTTATTAGAGTGCTCTAATACCGTAACAATTTTGTTAGTCTTTAATGTGCCACTGGACTTCTTTTTGTTTTTGTTTTTGCTGAAACTGATTAACAGATATCTCTCTGAAATTTAATGGTTTTTATTATTATCTCTACTGTATATCTGAGAGAATTTGTCTGTGTGTCTGTTCAAGAACTTCTAAACAGTAAGAGCTAGGACCGCCAAATTTGTCATACCTTAAAGCAGGGTAAGAGCTTGGTTGGGTCAGAAAATGGAATATACTTGGAATAGGATTGCTTTTCATAAAACCATACAGAAAAAAGACAATCACCAGTCAAATGAAAGGGAATAGCTGGGGGTATGCTACCTACCCCAGTCCAGGACTGCCTCAGCCCTGAACATCCTAACCCAAGGTGCACTTTGGGGGGAGGACCTCCCATTCCCTGATATGTACAGGAACATTGCTGGCTGTCCCCTTTTGTCAGGGAACGAGGGAAAAGTGCACAGTTTCCTGCGTTCCTCGCTTGGCTGAGGAGCACAAGGTGCTGATGAACCTAGACCCCTGGCTGTGGCTACTGATGTTGAAGCGGCCGTGGAGAAGCGCTTCTTACGTGACCCCAAGTTTCTGTGGTGAGAGAGGGCAGGGATAGTTCTCTCTCCCTCGGACACCCTGCATTCTGAACTAGGGATGTGAAGGACTAGTGGACTATCCGATAAGCAAATGCTTGTCAGATAGTTGACAGGCTAGTCAGCTAGTCCCGTCCCGTCCCCCTCCCCGTTTGCTACCTCTATCAGAAAGATTCAGCAACGGGTGGGGAAAGAGGGGCTACTTAAAAGCTGCAGCACCACATGGAGCCTGGGGCTAGACCCTGAGCGCCACGTGGAAATGCTGCATGCACCCCCAGGCTGCATGCGGCATTTCAAAGTGGAAACATTGCGTAGAGCCCCGTGTCAGCTGGGAGTCCCCAGCTGATCCCGGGCTCCACATAGCACTGCCACTTTGAAATGCTGCATGCACCCCCAGGCTGCATGCGGCATTTCAAAGTGGAAACATTGCGTAGAGCCCCGTGTCAGCTGGGAGTCCCCAGCTGATCCCGGGCTCTATGGGGCACTGCTGCTTTTAAATGCTGTGAGGAGCCTGAAACCGGGCTCCCTGGAGCATTTCAATGCCCAGGGCTAGCAGGGGAGTCCCTAGCTGATCCTGGGCTCCTCACGGTGCTTGTGTGTTTTCAAGTGTAACAACAGCCCTAAGGTTGTTCAAAAGCGGAAGTGCCCTATCAACTAATTGAATAGTCAATGCAAAATACGTTGACTAGTCAATTACTCGCAATTTATTATCTCCAGGTCCTTCCCCAAAGCAATGATTCAAATGAAGTGTGTACATTTTCATTTTATTTACCAACAGCCAAAAATATATTGAGTTGAGGACACCAGCAACACTGAGTAAATCTTCCAGTATCTTTAACATAAAAAGTATGTTTTATATAGGATGGTTTGATTATTTTAAAATGAATTTTGGAAAACTATGTGTATACTGTGCTATGTGTTAAGTACTTATTTTGTTCACTTGCGCTCTGACTGGGTATCAGAAAATGAGTAAAATACTTGTTCACATTGTCTGCTTTTGTGTCCATCTGTCAGACCATAACCTTGACACGTTTTATGGGAGAGTACCCTACTTTCTTCCCTTTTGATGGGGACCTCTGAATTGGGGTAAGGCTCTAGACATTTTTCCTTCTGAGTATAGTTTATCTTCAGTGTTTCTCTTCAGTGTAAGTGGTTTCCCTGCATGAGCATGAGAAAGTTCTGACACAACTGTATGGAAGTAATAGTCTCATTAAACAAGATTTATAAAGGTTAGAGAAAAAATCAATAATGATGCATAAAGTCCAGTTTGAAACTGCAAACCTTAACTAGGTAGCCTCATTACAATTTTACTTACAGTGAAATAGGAATACTTTCAATTTTTTTTTTCAAGGACCTGTCTGCAATTCTTACACAGGGAACATTGTAAAGACATAACCTCAGGGTCTCTTTCACTTTTCTTCTCTTCCACACTCTCCCCTTTCACTTTATTACTTTGACTCCTTTTTTATGATTCACTTATCAAACTGGGTAAACTTCAGAGTTGTTACATAAATATTCTCTGGGGGGGGGGAAGTCATCACCATCTTTTATGGCAGAATAATTGTATATTTTAAAGTCATACATTCTAACATTCACTGGTCTTGTTTAAACAGATTTGAGAGGTTTTGTTTTATTTTATTCTGCCTTTCTTTTTCATGTATTTATTTGGAAAGTGTATTGTGCCATAATAGATTTTTCAGAACTCATTTGCATCTTCTTTGTCTCCTGTGTGAATGTTTTAACCAAAGGAGTTAATTTTGAAAAGTTCATTTTCAACCCCTTAAAGCTATATTTCCCTACGTCATCTTATTAGAATCCCAGTTGTAGATGCAGAATCCATCATATGGTAATTGACTTTACCATTTAATTGACATTTTTGGAAGTGAACATGTTTAATAGTTGTAAGTATTCTGGACAGACATTGATCACTAGTTTATATGGGCTTCATTCACATCAGTGACTTTTGAGGTGGGGGAAAAAAACCATTCTTGTTACTGGTCACATCCAGTTCCCCAGAATTTTAATTGTGTGAAATGGCAGTGTGGTAGCCATTTTGGTTCTAGGACATGAAAGAAACAAGGCAGGTAAGTTAGTATCTTTTATTGGACCAACTTCTGTTGGTAAGAGACACAGTTTTGAGCTACACAGTGCTTTTCTTCAGATCAAAGATTCAGGTTGAACCTTTCTAGTCCCGCATCCTTGGGACTTGACCAGTGCCAAACAGAGAATTTGCCAAACCACATGAGGTTTATTGTCTCGCAGCATTATGAACCCGTTCACTGCTCACTTGGCTCTTAGAAGACATTTAGAGGTAAATTAGAGCTAAATAACATCACAGCACACTGAGAGCCAGGGCTGATGACTGGTAAACAAACTTTATGGGAGAAACTTGGCAACACCCTTGGTAAGTGGACATCTGGGTAACTAAAATCATGCTGGACCAGAGAGTGCTGGATTAGAGAGGTTCAATCTGTACACTCTCATCTACCTTGCCTCTCCTTTATGTAAACTGGCAGTTACAGAGGATTGGAGAGTAAAGTGATTTAGTATTCCTGTTTAAAACAATTTGCCCAAAATCTAACTGCAATTAAAAAAAAAATCTGCATGATTTTTAGAATCATTAAAGTGCTACTTAAATTGTTATCATTGAGTCCTTGTATTATGCTGCAAGTTGCCATTTTACCTTTTAAACTGGAAAGTGATAATTACTTAACATTTTGCCATTGCCTAAATAAAATAATGAAGAACACAAACATTGCTTTCAAAAATATGTTCTTAAAAGAGTTTTAATTTAAAAACAGATCCTAAACTTTTGACTGTCAGGAACCATTCAAAATTGTTACATGTGGATAAGCTAAAAAGAGTGGGGTTCCAAAGAGGAATGGGGAAGCAATTTGTTCATTAAAAAAGAAGGGTAAATAGAAACCATCCTAGCCACCATGGATGTAGAGGCTCTCTACACAAACATCCCACATGCAGATGGAGTACAAGCTGTCAGGAACAGTATTCCTGATG